AACCTGGAGAAGGTAAAGTGCTTGCTCTATTCAGGACAGGTTCATCTTGATGTTCCTGCAGAACATCCAAGGAGAGAGTGTGTCCTCAATAGCTGGATCTATAGTTTTGAGTTCAGCAGAGGGTCGAGGCTAATGGACAGATGGGAGGGGGTGACGTAGCCCAGAGTGAGGTCCTGAAGGACACTAACCAGAAAAGGAACAGCTCAAAGAGAGAGGAGGAAAACCAGGAGATTTGGAAGCTAGGAGAATCCCCACCTGCTGCCATAGAGACTTCAGATTTGTCAAGGCTGAGGAGTGTCTGCTGGAATCAAGGAGAAGGCTACTAGGTGAGGGATGTTTCTGGGACATGGTGGGGACAGCCTGAAGCCAGACCACAGGAGGGATAGGAGGTGAGGCAGTGGAGAAAACTAGAATAGAAGACTCTGAGTTCCAGGAAGGAAGAGCTGGCAGCAGAGCTAGGCAAGGACTAGGCCCTTGATCTCCAGAGCACCTCTGCCTGCCTGGGTCCCAGATCAAACTCTTGCTCACTGGCCTACTTCAAGATTCCCCCAATCTGAACTGCAGTGGCCCAGGCTTGCTTATTTCTACCTGAAGGAGGCTATGCTGGCCTGGAACACTAGGGACCATGGGCCTCAGAACTGCCTCTGGAGAGACAGACCGAAGTACTCACCTGTGAAGTTAAAGCACACGGGGTTGGCTCCCTGTCTGTGTCCCAGTGGATGGATGGGGAGAGGGGCAAAGGAGGACAGAAGAAAAAGTCCTGGACCGAATTCCAGAATACCTGGGTCAGTGCTCTTACCTTCTGCCTATATGATCCTGGGCAAGTCACTTAGCTCCCGGAGGGACAGTGGGCATGATCAGTAAGAGCTGCTGCCAGGGTTGTTGTAAGAATCGAATGAGCTGTCTTGTTGATACCTGTGTGTGTGTGTTTGCTGGGCGTCGGGTGGAGGGATGGGGGAGGCACAATCAGAAGTGGGGAGGCAGCCATGTGTCCCAGGGGCAGTTTATGGACCCTGCCTGGTGGAACCAGGGCTCTTCTTGATCTGAGGAAAGGCACTTCCAAGGATGGGCTGCGATAGTGGCCAGCTGGGGCCTTAAGATTTGGAACCAGGTCCTATTCATTCCAAAGAAGCGGGGTTTCGGGAGCCTAACCTGAAAAGCTAATGTTTCTTCCCGTCCCCATCCCCCACAGAAAGGAGGATTTGGGAAGTCTGAGCCTGCACCGAGACCAAAACTCATCTCTTCAGGACTTCCCAAAAAGAGTTCCCCAAAAGAGAGGGCTCACAGATTAGTCCCCATTCGGAGACAGCGCTCCCGGCGGCGCCCGGTGGAGCTGAGCTCCAGCTGTCCGGGCGCACACAGCTGGAGGGTCACGTGGCAGCGGGTCGGCCCCATTTTCTGCCAACGTTGCATTTGGCTCAAGCCTGGTCCATGGCCGCCCTTGGGACCCTGCGTTGAGCCCCGGAGGCCCCGGCATCCGGGGCTGCGCTGCTCCCAAGGGCTGAGCGTGAGTATCAGGATTCCAAGGACCAACGTGGTGGTCAGGGAGGAGTAGAAGGGATTCGGCTTCAGCGTGGAGAAGGGTGGCGAGGGTAGGGGGTGGGGTTTTCCTGCTCCGGCCTTGGGGCACGGTCCTGGGCCTGAGCTGAGGAGGAGCGAGTTGGTTACTTGGAGGACTTCTTGCCCTTTCAGAGACCCCTTACCGACGGGAATAAGGAGGGGGTCATGGCCCAGAGTAGGAGGAGGGGGCTGAACGGCCGATAGTTGGGGACCTCCGGCGCGTGGCTCCCCATCCCTTCCGCTTGGGAAAGGCAGGGCCAGGAGCTCCTGCTGGCGGCTGGCTTTCACATCGCGAGCCCTTGACTGAGTCTCTTCGCAGGAGGCGCGGGCGCCAGTCATACGGATATGAGGTGGAGGCTGTGCCTACGCGGGGACGCATCGCTCACGCTGCTCCTGGGCGCCGCTCTCGGCCTCCTGCTCTACGCGCAGCACGATGGCGCGGCATCGACAACGAGCGCGCCGCGAGCGCCAGGGAGGGCAGCGCCGGAGCCTACATCCCGGCTCCGCTTATTCCAGGCACGGGACGTGGAGGCAACCCTGCAGGCTTACGAAGAAGACACGCCAGAGCCACCCACGCCCATGGGACCCTTTGACTTTGGCCGCTACCTGCGCGCCAAGGACCAGCGACGCTTCCCCTTGCTCATTAACCAGCCCCACAAATGCCGATGCGATGGGGCACCTGGCGGGGGACCCGACCTGCTCATCGCTGTCAAGTCAGTGGCGGCCGACTTTGAGCGGCGGCAAGCCGTGCGCCAGACGTGGGGTGCTGAGGGTCGCGTGCAGGGGGCGCTCGTGCGCCGTGTGTTCTTGCTGGGTGTGCCCAGGGGCTTGGGCTCAGATGGGGCAGACGCAGAGGGGATGCGTATGCAAACGCACTGGCGCGCCCTGCTGCGTGCCGAGAGCCGTGCGTACGGGGACATTCTGCTCTGGGCCTTCGATGACACTTTCTTCAACCTAACGCTCAAAGAGATCCACTTTCTATCTTGGGCCTCAGCCTACTGCGCCGACGTGCACTTCGTTTTTAAGGGCGACGCTGACGTCTTCGTGCACGTGGGAAACCTGCTGGAATTCCTGGCTCCGCGGGACCCCGCTCAGGATCTGCTTGCGGGTGACGTGATCGTACAGGCGCGACCAATCCGCGTGCGGGCCAGCAAATACTTCATTCCAGAGGCTGTGTATGGCCTGCCTGCCTATCCGGCCTATGCGGGCGGCGGTGGCTTCGTGCTTTCTGGTGCCACACTGCACCGCCTGGCCGGCGCCTGCGCGCAGGTTGAACTCTTCCCGATCGATGACGTATTTTTGGGCATGTGTCTGCAGCGCCTGAGGCTCACTCCTGAACCTCATCCTGCTTTCCGTACGTTTGGCATCCCTCAGCCTTCAGCTGCGCCACATCTGCGCACCTTCGACCCCTGCTTTTACCGTGAGCTGGTTGTAGTGCATGGGCTCTCGGCTGCTGACATCTGGCTTATGTGGCACATGCTGCACGGGCCTCATGGGCCAGCCTGTGCACGTCCACGACCTGTCGCCGCAGGCCCCTTTCAGTGGGGCCCCTAGCCATTTATGACAGCCCCAAGCGCCCCTCATTTAGACCCAGGATACAGTGGGAGTTTGAAGCATTAGGTTTCCCCGGTGGGTTATTGCAGTGTATGTGCTTTTTCCCCAGAAAGAGGCAGAAGAGTTAGGGATCCAGCTTGATTGCCAAGTGTCTGCTTCCATAGGGTCCAGGGAATGAAGACTGAGCTTGGCTCTTGCTCTCCTACTGGTAGCCGGTCAGGAACCACCTAATAACTCTTAGAGATAGCCAGGGCTGAGGTGATGGAGCAAGCTCTTTGTGAAGCAGGGGAACATATTTGGTCCTCTCAATACCAACATGGGGGTGGGAGGTTTTTCATGGAATCTGACCACATTCCTTGGTTTGGAACCCCTTTGGATGCTGCAGACGCATGCAGGCCTTTCTCATGGTTGGACCCCACAGGAGATGTCTGGGGCCTGGCTTCAGTCTTCATGAAATTGGCAGGCATTGTCAAAACTCAATCTGAAAGTAGGCATTTTGCTTTCCACCTGTCCCTCCAAATTGCATTTTTAGCCTTGTCAAGGTCTTTGGATCTTTTCCTTTTGAGGGCTGCTTTCTTGGAGCCACCCTGTCTTGGGCTCTGGTTTGGCTGGAACACCAGGGATGGAGGCACACTTGTGCCTGGTCCTAAAGTCTTTCCCTGTCTACTACACCCTCACAAGAGTCTATGCCAGTCTCCGACTGGAGGCTGTGCTGTCCACTTCAGAGAAGCCAAGGAACCTGTCCTCCTAAGATTACTCCACTATACATTTTCCCATATTCTTAAAAAAATCAACACCCCCACACTCATTTTAGTACAAACATCTCAGCAACAGCACATGGTAAGCCATTGCTGAGGGGATAGGCCTTTATTGGAGGAGGGGTGTAGGCAGGGCATTACGAAGGTTCCCCCATTCCAGGAGGATGAGAACAGTCCTGGCTTACCCAACAGTGGGATGTGCGGGGGTCTCTGGCCAGGCCACAGTCCAAATGGGAAGACACCAGTTACAAAGTCATGGGAGTGCCACACAAGCCTGGCTATAGGCCCAGGAACCACGTGAAGCCTGGGGCAGGTCCCCTGCACATTCATTGTTAAACTATACAGGATGAGGCTGTACATGAGTTAATTACAAAAGAGTCTTATTTACAAAAATCTGTACACACATTTGAAAAACTCACAAAATTGTCATCTATGTATCACAAGTTGCTAGACCAAAATATTAAAAATGGGATAAAATTATACATTTCTCTTCTCAATTCTTTTCAAAAGGTTAATATTTTTAAAGCACATATGCTACTTTCTTTAGCAAGACCCATGAAGAGACTGAGCAGCCCAGCCCTCCTTGAGTCCCCAGAGGCCTTGAGCCATAAAGGGGCCAGGCCAGGAGACAATGCCCAGGGTTGGGGCAGGGCAGCCAGCCCACAGTGCAGAACAGAATGCTAAAATAAAAGGAGGAAGATGTCTTTGGCTAAAACTTTGGCATTAAATTAAAAAGGCAAACAGGATGAAAACATGCAGCCCTTCCAGCCGGCTTGAGGCAGAGCGGGCATAGGTGACTTTGAAGGCTGACTCCAAGAGGGGTGGGAACCAGGCCTTAACATGTAACCTTGATGGTAGAAAGCTGTGTTTCAACCAGTTGAGTGTGCCTACTGGGCGTGGCAGGGAGAGCGTGCAAGAAAGAAACAGGGAAGGGCAGGCAGGCCACCTTGGTCACAGCTAGCTCATCAAGTAACTAAAGTGGATGTAGTAGTGCAAAAGTTACAACCAAGTACTATGGACATGCTGCTTGCCTTAAGGGTCATGTGGCAATGGTGGGCCAAAGGCAGGACCTTGTCCTCGTCCTGGGTGCTTGTGTTCTCAGCCACAGAGAGTCCCAAGTTTTCCAATGTGTATGGGATGGGGAAACTGAACCTTGCCTCTTAACATGTTAGTCTAGCGCTCCTAGGTCCAGGTATAAAGGCTCAGAGTTTGTGCTTCTCTTTGCAGTCTGTGTCCCCTGTTGGCACCAGCAGGCTGAGGACAGACAGAGGAATATCTATCTGGGCTCCTCGCCCCATGGCAGAGCGCCCATCCTGAGCCCTACCTCAGGACATCACAACAGCCCTTCAACACTGGCAAGGTGTCCAAGAAAACCCACAGGGTGGCACATGAAGGCCCATTGAGGAGGATGCGATGCACAGTTCCACAGGACAGAGGGACACGGGTGATGATGTCCCTAGGGGAGCTCTGCTGTTCTCAGGTGGGCACCAGGCCTGGGGGGTCCATACAGGGTCACCGAGGCAATGTGGTTATTCTGCATGACCTGGTTGTGAGAAGAGGACAGCAAGTCAAGGGGGAAGAGTAGAAGGGATGTAGGCAGAACAGGCAATCAGACCCACAAAACCACCAGTGGGATCAGTACTGGGACTGTAGCTGCAGAGAAGCGACCCAAGGCAGATCCTGTGCACTGGCGTGGAGGGCTGTGTGTACAATGCACCTGCACACAAGGCTGGGTAGATCCCTCAACATCCTTTAACTCATGCTAGGGATCATCTCTATCCCAGCATCCGCCTGTGCCTCATGGGACACACAAACTTCACCATACCTATTTTTCCAGTGGGGCCTCTATAGCCACTCACCCAAAGCACATTCGTTCAAATGGCATTCAAAAGTGCCCAACACTCCCGAGATGAACCCCACTTGTCCTGTGCTTCCCTTCCCTGCTGTTCTGTTTTTTTTGATACAAATGTGGGATCCTGTTATATCTCATCTTGTTAGATACAGACCACCGCTTTAACTTCGTGACCCTGAATTTTCCCATCATTTCTGAACCCTCACTGTTAAATTGGGTAGGCAAGGTTCTCAGCAGACAAGGTTGTTAGGGAAGGATTAAGTTGCCCAGCAGGGCCGTGAGGTCCTCCCTAATCTCTCTCAGTGACTTCCCTGTCCCTGCCATGACCACTGGCCGCAGTCCTCAGGGCTTACCTCAAAGATCATCCGCTGAAGACCAAAGCAGAATGTAGAACCAAATGGGTTGGTGTTGTTTGGGGAGGAGGACCTGAGGTGGAGGAAGCCAGAATTAGAGGGGCAGACAGACGCCAAGGCCAGGCAAGGCAACCAGTCTGTTTTGGGAGGGGAGCTACTGGCAAGTGATCTCTATGTACTACACAGGCCCTTGAGATCTTGAAGGTATCCACAGGCCTCACTCAGCTCTGAATCCTACACAGCCCAATAAGGCATAGAAAGTTACTGTGCAATTGGACTGGGGTGGTGAGAGGTCAGGATGAGGAGAGAACCTCACACAGTATGGCAACCAAGGTGTTGGGAACTGAGCTATGGAGCAGAACAGGTAGCAGCTTTGATAGGGAAAATAAAGAGCCCAGGATAGCCAGTCAAAACTGCCTCCCTTTCTGAATAACTAGGGGTGAAAGGGCTCCCACATTTGGAGTTGGTGGGGGAGTGGGGAGCCATCCCCAGTGGGCAACCTTTGGTGCAGGTAAACATGCGGAAGAGCAGGCCCAGTCCTAATGTGCAGGATAGGGACAGGAAGTATGTTTGTGGCAACACCAAAAACTTGTGTCATTTCTAAACAATACCCACTGCTAGGCTTCCCTGGGCCTTCTGGACTAGGAGCTGGATGGGGTGGTTAGACAGCAACCTCTCACACTCACCTGTGCAGGACAACAGGCTTCTCCACGGGGTGACCCAGGAGCTCCTGGATATTGTCCCACTGCAAGAAAAATGGAGGTGGCAGGGGGTTAGCAGGGATCAATGGCTGGCCCAGAGGATATGGGCCCCAGATTGCTGGCAGGCTCATGCCCATCTCATTTTCAGACTGCACCAGGTAGGAAAATAGGAGCTCACCTTGCTGTAGGTTGTGCATGTTTCTGTCTGACCATCTGCACTCTCTGAAAAGAACACGGAGTAATTGGTAGCTGGCCCAGCCCACCTGTGGCTCCAGCCCTAGGCAGAATCCAAACCTGGCTACCCTTTGCACTAGGGCTGGAGTACGGAGGGAGGATAGATAGGCTGTTTTAGAGTTCCTGAATGGAAAACAGTGGAGGGTTGAAGGGAGGTCATTCAGGTGTGAGCTACACCAACCAGCAAGAGAACAGTCATAAGACTGGACTGGGACCACCTGGATGATCATCTGTAGATAGGAAACTCTCCCTTCCAGAGACCAGCAGTCACAAGAAAGATCTTGAGGGTCTCCAGGAGACTACGGACCAAGAACAGTACAGCCTCCAGAACAAAGAGCCCAGCTGAGAGGAGCTGAGGCTATGGGTAGAAGCAGGTGGGAAAAGGTTCCACAAACCCAACCAATACCATTCTCTCTGCTTGGATCACTTGTGTTTCTTCTCAGTGTGAGTGACTGACTCAAAAGCCCTTCCTTTGCCCTGAAGACATTCACTACTCACCTTTCTTTATGGCTAGTGGGATCTTGAACTCACAACGGTGATAACTAGAGAGAGAAGGCAGATGGATAAAGGCTGAGCCCCCTGGGAGGCCTAACCACCCCCACATCTCAACCTTGCACCCTGGGAAAAACAGAACCAAGCATGCCTGTCCTAAGCCCTGGCACTGGGCCTGACAGTGTTCACTAGAGGAGGCCAGATTTATGCATTGGAATTCAACATAAAAAGGCTTGGCTCTGGGATCTGAATACTCTATAACCCTGGATAAGACACCAAACTTTCTGAATCTATTTCTCTATTTGTTAAAATGGGTACAGATAGAGAGATTGTAAGATATTGGATACTATACCAGAAACAGCAAACAGTCAGGAAATGTTCACTTCTCATGAAACAGCAAGAATTCAGGTGTAAAGTAATGAACTCCAAAGCCATAATCTCTCTTTCCTGGGGATTTTCAGCCCAAAGCTCCCTTCTCAGAGGGGCATGTACAAGTATACTCACATATTAAAATTATAATGCCCAGGGTAATTGGTGTGAAGGACAAACTTCTTCACTTTGTGTGTATTCGCATCGAAGAGGATGTCCTGAGATAGAAAACAAGGATTCCCAAGTAGGGAAAATTACTGAGGCAGTGCAGGGGGCCTTTCCAAGGGCATGTCCAACTCAGAGACACCCAGAGACACCCAGCCCACAATGGGGATGCCTGCAGGCGTTAACTGGAGTGTGAGTGAGTGAGTGAGTGAGTGAGTGAGTGAGTGTGTGTGTAGTGGGGTGGGCCGCAATCATCTATAGGCCTCCCCATTCCAAACCTTGTACCAGCAGTTCTGGCAGGCACAGGGGGATATAGCTCCCACTGCTTGGGAACTCAAACAGATCAGGGAGATCTTTAAAAAATCTGAGCAGGAAGAAAAAAATCTGAGAATTTGTCTTAAAGGCTACCAAGAAAATCAGGGCTACCTAACTCAAGGGGCTCAAAGCACCTGGCTATTCTGAATGCCACGACATGCCAGGCCCTTTACGCCCTCTCTATGGGAGTCAGCCACCCCTGGAACTGATTTGATGCTGCCTACTGAACACTTTCTCCTATCCCTCACAGCCCCCCAGCTGTTCAGGCCTGTGACCCCTGATTCTACCCCTCCATACTAAGTCCTATTAGGGCCAGTGTATTTGCTCTATCTTCCCTGCCACCTATCATAACTAGCTCTTGAAATCAAGAGATTCAGCTTATAACAGTGCCATTCCCTCCAGCACTACCTACTCTTAAGATCCCACTTC